TTATGATGAGAAACTTGATTCCTTCATTTCTTTTAATTTGGATAGGATGACTTTTCTTGAGATTATACTTTTCAAATTGTTTATGTTGTAACCCAACTTAAAGATCCATAAATAAGTTAGAGATTGAGATTTGACAGTGTTCCACTGGTTGGATGTTTCATTTAGGAGTTGTTGGGAATGACCTAAATAAGTGTACTTTTTGTCTTTTTACGAAAAGATGTACAGAAAAGTAAAGAGGTGATGTAATGGAAAAAAGATAAAAAGATAAAAAGATAGATTATTTGGGACTTCCCAAACTTAGCCTTAGTATTGGAATGAACTACTAAAACTAGATTGTGAACTATGGCCTAATTGGGTCCTATGTTGTTGGGAGACCAAAACTTATGCTCTGTTCAAATTTTGAAGGGGAAATTACAAATCAATAGATTGTTTCAATGAAAAAGTTTATGACTTTAATTATTAAAGTTGATAAAGTATTCCATTAATTTGTAATTATTTTGAGAATATCCCACTGAATTACAATTTTCTCAATTTTAAATTTGCGAAAAAAGAACAAAAAAGTGAAAAGGATCAAAAACAATTTCTTCTACAAATCAAAGATTAAAAATACAATCTCAATTGGTTCAACATATTGAAATTTTGTTGTTTACCCTTCAATCCATTCCTTAATTAATGCTGTGATTCCATTCACATTACACAAATATTCCCACCATGTGCCAAAGAATGAAGTTGTGATTCCATCCACATTACACAAATATTCACACCATGTGACAAAGAACACAAATACCAAGTTGCATATGCACCTCATAGATTAGGTCTCAATAAATGGATAAGCCAATATACTAATAGAATTGTAAGGAAAAAAAGTTGTGATTAAAAGGTGAATCAAAATGACAATCAAACAGAGTATGAAATTAGCAATAGCCACAAAATCAAAAAAATTTCAAGTCAGAACACTACACACAAAGACTCATTTCATGTCCTAGGCAAACCACCAACTTAAAACCCCTTTCCTAATGCATACATAGCTCCCACTCCACTAGTCATCAGTTTCTTTAAAAGTTGAAGGGGACATCCAAGGTGTGGATGGGGTATGAGAGCACCAATGCCACCAACACCAGTGCATATGCGATCCCTTGGTTAATTTTTGTTCCTGAGAGACCCACATCACTATCAACATTTGTGGCACTCAATCAATACATCAACATTCAAGAATAATCCATAGTCCACAAGTTTGGACCAAGAAGAAAACTAGACACACCAAAAACAAAACTGTCGTTGGAATCGGCATAATAGAGAACTTCAAGCAAACACAATCACATAATCTTATTCTTTGAAAAAAAAGTAAGGCATAATAGGGAACTTCAAGCAAACTCAATCGCATATCTTATTCAATATTTTACTTGAATATGTAGAATAACTCTTAATTTTTTTTTTTAATTTATAAAAAGTAGAATAACTCTTTACTAATATATCAAATTTCTTAATATATATATATATATATATATAAAAGAAAAATAAGATTATTTATACATAATTTTTTTTAAAGGTACAAAACAATTTGAAAATAGATTTTTTTTTTAAATAACTAATATCATTTTATTTTTCCTCTCCACAAATTTGACAAACACCATTATATTTGAGTGTTAATCACATTCTAATCACAGAAAATGTAATATATAGGAGGAGATCTGGGAAAATAAACAAGCACCAATGTTTGATTTTTGTTAATAAAAATAGTTTTTTTTTAATAACTAATATAATTTTCTTTTTTCTCTCCACAAATTTGACAAAAATCCTGAATTAATTTGTAAAGTACCTATTTAAAGCTTTTCGTGCCCAATGAAGAAGCTTGTTATATCAGTAGAAATCATATATATATCAGTAGAAATCAAATCTGTAGAAATCATATATATATAAGTAACAAAAATGAGAATAAAGACAAAAAGACGAAACGGACCTCGTTGCCGGCTCCCCTCGCGCCTCGTCGTCGCCTCTACTCGCTTAACTGTTGTCGCCAAGCTGCAGGAGTTACGTCAGCCATCTGTGTCACCCTCTTTGTTCGTCTCTCTCAAAGAGGGGTTAGGGTTCACAAACAAAAGGCAAACGAAAAACGAGGCTGAAAAATAAAAGGAGGAGAAGAAAAAAAAGATCAAAACGACGTCGTTTTGACCCGCCGCTTGAAGCGCCGTAGGAAAGGGTGGCCAAGGATTCGGACTTATCGAGATTTGGCCCTGGACTCATCTAGATTTGGCCCTCAAATGGAACTTGATGGAGCAAAACTCACACTTGCGACGTTGCGATGCGACTATTGAAGGCAGATCTCAACGTTGGAGACGAGAGAAATGGAGACAAGAGCAGAAGAGAAATGGAGATGCTAATGGCGGATCTTGAAGTAGGTAAGGAGGAGGCGATGAACGAAGAAGAGGCATTGCTGACAATGAACGAAAAAGAGTCTGCAATTCTGGTGCCTTCTGGATATTTGAGAGAGAGAGATTAATGATTTAAAGAGAGAAAAAAGACGTGAAGAAAGGCGATGGAGATGCCTCTAACCCTAGTATCTATATAGTATGGGTATTTTTGTCATTTTATTTAAGCTTTTCCTTATGGATAAAGTGTTTTCGCGCCTAGACTTTTGACTAAACAAAATTCAAGTTTGGATTCATGAACCGAGTACAAAAAAATATATACATATATTTATAAAATTTGACTTTTACAACAAAATAAATTTCAAGTTTTAAATCTTATCAATCTAAACATTAATTATTTATTTATTTATTTTCAATCTAAACCATCTATTTATTTATTTTTTTCAATCTAAACCATCTACTAGCTCAACTTAGACGTACAAAAAAATATCTAAGATATTATTTTTTATTGAGTTTAATAACTAAATTATCAATTTTTTTTTGTCAATTTTACTTAACGAAAATAAATATATAGTTTAGGTTGAAAATAAAATAAATTTTTAATATTTAAATTAACAAAATTAAAAACTCAATATTTATTTCATTATAAGCATCAAACTTTAAAAATTTTAAAATAATTTTTGTATAATGTTTGTAAGACCTCTAATATTTCTGTTAAATTATTAAGGATAAATTACAAATATCCTCCTTAAAGTTTGCTTAAAATACAAATTGTCTCTATATTTTTTAAAAATATTTCTGTTAAATTATTAAAGATAAATTACAAATATACTCCTTAAAGTTTGTTTAAAATACAAATTGCCTCTATATTTTTTTAAAAATATTTCTGCTAAATTATTAAGAATAAATTACAAATATACTCCTTAAAGTTTGCTTAAAATACAAATTGTCTCTATATTTTTTAAAATTACAGATACTTCATTTTAATAGATTTTTATTTAATAAAATTAACAAAAACAAAATTTGTAACTACTCTCATATATAATACTAAGATTACGTGAATTGTTAATTGAAATATATTTATGATATCATTAAAAATGGTTACTTGACTTGATAATTTATTAATAAAATGAGTCATTTGTTATACGATTATAAATTTGAAATTGCAAAATGTAATTTATACAATTATAGATAATTATTTGTATTTGAAGTAAACCTCAAAGGGTACTTGTAATTTACCCAATTATCAAAGGGATAAGCTCCATTTCATACATTATCTCTCCATAGCTATCCACACTTCTTTTATGGGTTTTAATTCGGACCAGCATTGATGATCTGAACTGTTTATCTCGTAAGCTCTATAATGAAGGTGATCTTAACAAAAAAAAATTAGTTTCATTGGACAACTATAAATATGGGAACAAATTGCATTTTGTTTTATAAAATCAATAGTTTAAATTTGATTGTATTTACCATTCATTTTTATAAAATAAAATGCGGTTTATTTTTGTATTTATAATTTTATGATAAAGTTGATTTTTGCTTATAAGATTTTTATTGTGAAACTTACGAGATAGATTGTTTGGATTATCAATGTGAGTTCGAATCAAAACCTATAAAATAATATATGGAGAGGTTTGGAGAAAAAATGTTAAAAACCCATCTTTATTGACCTCGAATTTACCTCGAATGTGTTTGTATAGTAAAAATTGAATTAATGAAATATAAGGCCTACATATGATATGAATCTGAGTCATTGATTTCTTATTATGGATAAATTATGTGTCGATAAGGGTGAATTTGTGATAGAGTAATTATTCAGTAATTTTGAAATATAGACATGTAGTACTTCATTGTATTATAATTGATGAAGAATATGAGTAGGTGAGATACTATGTTAAGGTCTGTTTGGTCCATTCCGTTTTTAGTTTTCAATTTATAGTTACAAAAATTTAAAAAATTGTCATAAAAACTTGTTTGATAATTTTTTTAGTTTATAAATGGTTGTCTCAGTTTATAAATTTGAGAAAAAAACATAAACTCAAAAAATGAGTTTACGTTTTCAGTTTTCAATTTTTTTTTAAATAATTTTTTTTTTCAATTCATTATTTTTTCAAATATATATTTTTTCAATTATTTTTTTAATTGATTTTTTTAATTTTTTTTTCAAATATTTTTTTTCAATTAATTTTTTTTCCAATTAACTTTTTTTCAATTATTTTTTTAATTAATTTTTTTTCAATTATAATGTGTGCGATCCCATTGTCATAAATAATAAAAATAAATATAAATATTTTAGAGCTGAATAAACATATTTTTTAGTTTATAAACAAACATATTTTTTATTTATATTTTTAAATATTTTATTCAAACCAAACATATATAATTTATATTTTTTTTAAAAAATAAATAAAAATCAATTTATAAAAATTTTATAAATATAAAAATTTTTGTTTATACCACGCTGCTAAGTAATCGAGAGACATAAGAAACCTAATGAAGGATGATAATGAAGGATGATTGGGTACAAGTACGGACCCGTAATATTTCCATGTGTAGCATTATTGGGAAGGGAGGGGAACAGTGGATCAATCACAGCCGTTAATAATTTGACTTATTCCACTGTGGACGACCAACCTTTAACCTTTATCCCAAACCCTCATTCCATGGGAACTGCCGAACCCTGTACTTCACACTACTCACTCACTCACTGCAAACAAAGGTTCCTCTTCTCTTTTCTCTCAATCTCCTCCCTCAATTGTCAAGAAAGTGGTAATCGTTAATGGTGATGATAGGGTTTTAGGGCTACGAGGAATTTGAAATGTCGTCGTTGACAGTCAAGCCTCCATTCCTTTCACAATCATCATCTTCTTCTTCGCCTTCCTTTTCGTTTTTTTCACTATATCGAATTAATCGGTTGTGTTCTCCAATCAGTTTCCCAAAAAAGATAAACAACAGAAGAAGATTCAATTTGAGTGCTCGTTCTTCTGATTCTTCCCAGAACAACGACAATGGCAAGAACGCTTCTAATTCTAGCGATTCCAAACCCCCTAACGGCTCTCTGGTACCCCTCTCTCTGTGAATATGATTTATAGTTAGTTTCGTTGTTATTTTCTCTCTCGTTATTTGCATTGGGTGCACAATGGATAAATGACTGCAAATATTAGTGGCTTCATCAAATTTAAATTTGATGAAAATGAGGTCCAATCCTTTCATCAAACTTGTATCAAATCAAGGGAAAAGCAAATTTTTAATCAAATCAAGGATGAACCAAATCTTTCACCAGATTTCAAACAAGCCTTTTTCACTTTAAGACCATCTCCAACGGTGAACCAAATTTTTTACCAAATTTGAGTAAGAAAAAGCTAATTTTTTCAATCTAATATTTCTTCCTCCAACCGTGCATAAAAGGGGAGGGTCGACCGGTAAGGTAAAATTTATTTATTTATTTATTTTTTATCTGTTTGAACCTTTTTGACCGGTTTGAACCTACCTATTTGAAAGGGAACTGGTCGACCGACTGGTTGACCGGTTGGTCTCTTCCAACGGTCACACATAGTAAAGTAGTGAAATTTCTACCCTGTTCTCAGTTTGATGAATTTTTTGGTGAATTCTCATTTTGATACCAATTTGCTGAAACCATTGGAGCTCCAAAAAGTGATTTTTTCACCAAAATTTAAATCTGATGCCAGGTTTGGTTCACCGTTGGAGATGCTCTTTGAGCATCTCCAATGGTGAACCAAAATTTTCACCAAATTTGAGTAAAAAAAAGCCAATTTTCTCAATCTGATATGGCTTGCTCCAACCGTGCATCAAAAGGGAAGTGGTCGACCGGTTGGTTGACTGACCGGTCGACCGATAAGGCCATTTTTTTTTTTTATAATTTTTTTTTGAACCGTTTGAACTAGTAATTTGAATCATTTGAACCAGTTCGCAGGCCAATTTTTGCATGAGCTGATCGATCGGTTGGTCAACCTGGTGGTCGACTAGGGGGTCGACCAGGTGGTCAACCAGGTGGTCGACCACTGGTTTTTTAAATTGTTGAAAGATGAAGGATTGGAGCTGGGTTTTTTTTCACCAAATTGATGAAAAGTGGAATTTGGGATGAGAAAGTAATTTTTTAAAAGATTTTGATGAAAGGATTGGAGTATCTCATCTTTTTACTCAAATTTGCAATCAAATTAGATGAAAATTTTGGTGAATGATTGCAGGTAAAGAGGTTAGAAATGTTGACAAATGAAAGAGAATAGTAACACTCCATTTGGATACTAGGGTGAGAAAAGAAAAGAAAAGAAAAGAAAAGATTGTAATCTCTCATCTAAATGATAAAAGAAAAGAAATAGTTGTGTTTTTGATGAGTAGAGAGGAATATGAGTGAGATTTTTTTTTTTTTTTGTAATTTAAGGGGTAATATTGGTATTATAAATATTTTACAACTAATCAATTTGTTTCCCACCAAATCTCACCACGCTTGGTGAGAAATGAAATAGGCTTGGTAAAAGGGTTCTCTTTCTCACCATTTCTCACTAAACTTATAAATCAAATTAGCGAGTGGCACACGTAATGCGTGTGCAATTCAAAATAAGTAAGAATAAAAGAAAATAATAAGGAAATTAATATTATAATGTGTACTTAGCTTAAGTGGTATGAGCCTTACTACCTTAAACCCATGGTCATGGGTTCAAGGCTGGCCCACCTTTTTGTGTAACTTTTTATTTTTTTTTCAAATACAAAACACTGCCACGTGGCATGAGGAGAGCAAAGCTTTACTACACCAGTTTAGGCCTTCACTTAATAATAATATAGAAGATATGAGAAAAGAGTTCTATTTGTCATCATTTCTCGTCAAATCACCCACTCCCTCCAAACAGAGTGTAAGAAAAAGAACTCTCTTGACACTCATGTTTTGTTCTCGCCAAAATTTGTGTGATTTATTGAAAAGTGAAAATTGCTTTACAAATATCTAACTTGTCTATTTAAATACAAAACATTAAAAATTGAATGAAATGTGTACTTTTTATTTTTTGTTCATCCAAACAACAGTGAGAAATCACAATGATTTCTTTTCTATGTGAAAAAACATTCTCACCTAGTTTAACAAACAAATAAGTTGCACTCTTGTTTCTGGTTTCATCTAGTGAGTTTTCCTTTTATGAAGAATTTGTTTTGCTGAGCTACTGTAAAAGTGAATCAAAACAGAAACATTCTTAGGGTTGGTTTGGGAAGTGGGTTGGCTTTTTGGCTTTTTGATTTTTTTGGCTATTTTAGCCCGAGCTAAAAAGTTTGGTTTGGGAATGGCTTTTTAGCTTTTTTTGACTTTTTTTGTGAGAGAAGAGTGTAATGATTATGGGTTGGATGTGATGTTTTGTTTGTTGTGGCTAAAATAGCCTATTTTGTCTTTTGTGGCTATTTTAGCCACAAACCATCTTGCCAAACATGATCGTTGCATTTGCTTGGTAATATCGTACTGCATGTCCAGGGTGCGTAGGAATGTTTAGAAGCCAACATCTAACAACATTGGTTGCACCCCTATTCGATTTGAATACGTAGTTCATTGTTGAGAAATTATCGCCACGTTTGGTTGTGTTCTCATTTCCCCACTAATTTTTTTTACCCATGATATCCTTTTTTGTAAATAAAAAACAGCAGAAGAGCAGGAGAGAAATTCTATTGGAGTACGTAAAAAATGTGCAGCCTGAGTTCATGGAGTTGTTTGTTAAAAGGGCACCTCAGCAGGTTTGATACTCTTCTTCCTTCTTGTTACTGTGTTTTTATCTCTAAAGTGTTGCATTTATAGTAATTCATTATCCTCATGGAAGGGCACACTTGTAACTTCATTGTCTCTTTGGTTTTCAATGGTGTCTTCTTTAGGTAGTTGAGGCTATGCGCCAAACTGTAACAAATATGATTGGAACACTACCCCCTCAGTTTTTTGCAGTTACAGTAGCCACTGTAAGTATATACAATCTTAAGGCTTGCATTCTTTATCTAGTGAATAATAACTGATTTAAGCTCATTGACAGATGTAAGTCTTCATGTTTGATATAATTTGGATCCTTTGGCATTTGTGCAGGTTGCTGAAAATCTTGCACAGCTCATGTACAGTGTTTTGATGACTGGTTATATGTTTAGGAATGCACAATATCGGTTGGAACTGCAACAAAGTTTGGAACAAGTTGCTCTTCCTGAGGTGCAAGATAAGAAGGTGAGTTCTTTCATTATCCTTTTTTATTTTTTATTTTTTTTTCCTTTTGTAATTTAATTACAAAGAAGGTTATTTCATTCATTATCTCCCCCCACGGTAAATAATTAAACGTACTTAATTTTTTCTTCAGAGTTGGAAGAGTTTGACTGATTGTGGTTTCAAAGTTAACCTGCTAAAGTGCTAACTTCTTTTCCCTTCCCAATCCACCTGCCACAAGGAGAGGAATATATATATCACCGGTTACCACAGACCTATATTTACGGCCCATTTCCCTGACTAGGGCAATGCCATCACTTTATTCTCCAATAAGTGTAATTTTTTACTTTATTCTGCATATAGGGTAAAGCGTGATTACAAAACACGTTTTTAAGAAATGGACTTATGCTGGAAATGTTGCTCAAAATGCGGAAATAATAAAATATTCTTAAAAAGCATGTCTTGTAAACATGCTTTTAATTAAGCCTTAATTAAAAAGCGTGTGTTGTAAACATGTTTTTAGTACACCAAAAAAATTAAGTAAAAGCGTTAGAATTTTTAATTTTTAAAGTAAAAGCTTGTTTTGTAAACATGCTTTTAGAAAAATAAAAACAAAAAAAATTAGTGTTATCGAACGAGGCCAATAATGACAATGTCTAAGGTTGATAATAATGGCCAATGATATACTCCCTCCGTATCAAAATATTAGTCGCTTATTCCATTTTTCATTGTCTCAAAATATTAGTCCATTTTCAAAAATCAATGAATAAAATAATATGAATTTACTATTTTGCCCTTCTTTTAAATTCATTAATAACACAAAAAGTACAATTATGCAATTGATATTCCCAAAAAAATGTACTATCAAAGGGTAATCTTGAAAACTTAATATTTTTAAAATATAATAATTGTACTATAAAAAAAAGATTAGATTCCCCAAAAAGGACCATTATTTTGAGACGGAGGGAGTAGTTTATCAAAATTGTCATCCACCAACAAAAAGAAATAAAACCAGTTTTTTTTTTTTTTTTTTTTTTGGGTCTAGGCACTTAAATTAAAATGTTGGCAAGAAAAATGTTATTGATAAATCTCAATATACATGTAAAATATATATATATATATATATATATTTTTGATAAGTGCATGTAAAATATATATAAAAATATGTGAAATATATATATATATATAGAAAGATGTAAAAAATATGAAAAATGAATTAAAATTTTAGTTGTTTAACATTATTCTCACCTTAACAACTATTTGTAGCTTGACTCTATGGGAAATATGACATAAAACAACTCATGTTTATGAAATGAAATTATGCAGCAAGTTGCAACCAAATTTATTAAGAAAATGAGAGTATCTAGGGTGATATATGACATATCATTGTAGCTGCTTTTGGTGCCTTGCTTGCTCAATGGGTGTGAAAAATTAAATTAGGAAACGTTCAAGAAATGCAAAATTCCACAACATCAGAAATATAAAACACAATTATCTAAGGTGATTCACTTGTATATCAAAAAAATGTGTTTTTCATGTTTTTAACTGTAAAAAAAGTTGGTGTAAAAATGTATTTTGTAAACATGCTAACGTGTTTACAAAACGCGTTTTCTAAGCGTAAAATAAAAAAATATTTATATTTCAAAAAAGCGTGTTTTGTAAACATGCTTTTAAATTAAGGATTAATTAAAAGCATGTTTTGTAAACACACTTTCTCCATTATTTATTTATTTATTTATTTTATTCACACCATAACATCTAAAAATTGTGTTTCATAAAAGCGTATGTATTCGGAATAAAGTGAAAAAGTACCCTATTCAGGAAATAAAGTTATGGAATTGCTTTAGTCAGGGAAATGAGCCCTATATTTATAAATGAAAAAGTGTTATGTACCTTTTCTTGGTTTCGCAGGCTAATTTCACCACTTGGAGGGACAGTCCAAGGGTTTGGAACCTCCCCAGACTCGAACCCACATGGTCCTCCAAGGAGAGTATGTCTTACCACAGTAACAAGATGGAAGACTACACTATATCTAAGTTTTGCTAATTGTCGTACCCTTGGAAGCTTGATGTCAATGGATTCCACAACTTAGCACATGTTTGGTACGCTGGAATGGAATGAGAGAGAACATGGAATGCAAGGTTGAATGGAATGGAATACAATGCCCATTGCCATTCCATTGTTTGGTTGCAAAATATTATGACGTAGGAATCGAATGAACATTTTAAGCTAATAGAATGGAATGTTTTTTTTTATATTTTATTTTAATATTTATGATCAAACTAGTTGTGTTGTTACGGCAGTTCAAAAATCTGAAAAAACCAAATTACCCGACCAACCCTGTCCAACATGATGTGTATAAAAACCTCATTATAGCGTATGAGATCTCTTATCTCTTATTTGTGAATGTGGTTCATGTAAGATGTTCTAGAGCCAACACCTATGTTACATAGACTCGGGTATGCGTGTTGGGTGCGGCCATGTATCTAGAGGTCGAACTCATCAAATCATAAATTTAAAGATACATGGACTCGGCACAAAAAAAATGTCATATTTTTATATTTTCAATAAAGAATGTGAGATAAAATGGTGTTATATGTAACTCACAAGTTACAATGTCAAAAAGACATTTATAGCAATTATATAACAATATATACATATAATAATAGTGTTATATACAATTATCTAAGAAGTATCCGTTGAAAAGTAGCTGACACATATCCCATATCCTTATCCAAGTGTTTGGTATCCAACACAGGTATTTCTTTTATTTTGTAGAGGCAACACTAATTTCTTCGATTCAAACTATTAACTCTTTTTACAATAACGCTTATTATTATTAATTATGGGGAAAAATAGAGCAAGCGGAGGATCTCTCTCTCTCTCTCTCTCTCTCTCTCGCGCGCGCGCGTTATTCCATAGGGGTAACCTATGTTATCTATTGTCACACATAGGTACTAAATGACTTCTCCTTTTTCAACTCCTATCTGACGAGGGTTTGGAACTTGATCTTATGGCTGTACAGGATGTGCCAGATTATGCACCAGGAACTCAAAAAAAAGTATCTGGTGAAGTTATTAGGTGGAATAATGTTTCTGGTCCTGAGAAAATAGATGCCATGAAATATATTGAGCTACTCGAAGCAGAAATTGAGGAACTCAATCAGCAAGTAGGAAGAAAATCTGCAAATGGACAGAATGAATTGTTGGAATATCTCAAGTCTCTTGAGCCCCAAAATCTGAAGGTATAAGAACTGATAACCTTTCCTTCTTTAAATTCATGATCCAAACACAGCTTTAGGAGAATAATATTTTAGCTATTTCCCTTGTATATGTATATGCACCAACTTGTCCCCCATAGATGCGAAAGGGGGGTTAGGTTCCATAAATTATTATTGTTTTTCGTTAACTGATCACCAAAATGTCTGTGCCAATTCACACACAACATAATCAGGAAATGCTTTGTATATGTGATTTGTCGTCGTCTACATAATGTACCTCTTCCACCATACTTTTCTCTGCAGTGGTCTTGCTATGATAATTCAATGGTTCATGTTTAAAGTTGCAGCAAAATGGCTTAGTCTTGTATGTTGTCTAAAGTAAAAGGTATTATTTTAATATTACTTGGTTTTAATTTTAAATTAGAATTGTCAGATTGTGTCTTTTGCTGATGTGTCTAGTTGTGGTAAAAAGCATAGCAAGATCATTGCAAAGAAAAAATGGCTTAGGATCCAAGTCCATATGTAATTTAAATAAGCTGTCAATACCTTTCACTCCCCCTAATTATGCCTTGGACAAATTGAATCATTTTGTTGGGCTAGTAGTTCTGTACACAGCTTTAGTTATTTTGCGAACCAGTTATTATTGCCAATCATGCATTTTAATTTCTTATTTATATGCGCAATATTATGCAGGATTTAACGAGTAGTGCTGGAGAGGATGTTGTGCTGGCAATGAACACATTCATAAAACGCCTCTTGGTTGTGACAGATCCTGGACAAATGAAGGTTTGCAATTATATTATCCTCTTGATTTTCTGTGCCGTTGTATCTGATACATTTTGAATGCCAAGGTTTAACCTTTAGGGTCTGTTTGGATGGATGTGGATTTGAAATGCATGAATTTGACATTAATTATTCAAGAAGAATAACTCAAATGTAGATTTGATAGTTTACCTAATGAATTTCAAGATTGAATTGGATGGCTTTATCATGATGGATTTGAAATAACTATAACAAAGTTGTTATTTAAAATTATGCTAAAGATTTCCTTCTAGCTACAAGGGTCCTACTAAAATACAATTCTTTTGTCTCAACTCATCTTCTTCTATAGTTTTTCTCTCCACCTATAATATTTAACTCTCAAATATTTTAACCTCAAATCCTTCGATTTGAAATCCACATCCATCCAAATACCCTTAATTCTGGTACGTGTTTCGTATTTGCCATAAGCAAACAGGTGTGAAATGTGTAATTATTATGGTCTATCGCTCCAACCAACGTCGACTGATTCAGTCACTTGTCATATTACAAATGAAGCTATCATTGTACGTCCATCCTGTTTAAGTTTTGGTTAGATGATTGTGACAAGCATGGGTACTTCGAAAAACATGTCGTACCCATACTGGGTACTTATTGGCATATGATACTTTGTATGATACTTTTGCATACATATTGGGTACAAGAAACACGTATCCAAATTTTTGTCGTACCCAGACGTACCTATACCCAAGTCGTACCGTACCTTAGTCAAAACAATATTTTCTTCTATAACAGAGATAAATTTTTTTTTTACTATACTTCTCTTTTATTTTTAGTTTTATACTTAGCATGAGTTGAAAATTAAGTTATGGTTTGTCAGTTATTTAATATAATGATATTTAATTTTGATTTATACCTTTACTTTTGGCATTAAATATTAATTATAGATTGTATCTTAATAAATTAAACTATTTAATCAATTTTTGCATTACTCCAAGTAAAAAATAAATATTTTTTACAAACGTATCAAGCCGCACCCGTATTATATTTTTTTTGGATTTTATCGTATCGGTATACCCGTATCGTACCAGTACCTGTACTCGTACCCGAACCCATGCTTCATATGTATTTCACTGGGCTTAACTTTTTATTCTGAAAAAGTGAATTTTTCCGTTTGACCAAGTATTAGATTGACTACAATCTCTTTGAATAGCAACTTCCGTTTTTTTTTTTATTTGATGTTATTGGGATTTGTTAATCTGTTGTTTACAGACGAGTGTGACAGAAACAAGTGCCCCTGAACTTGGCAAGCTGCTTTATTGGCTGATGGTAGTTGGTTACAGTATTCGCAACATTGAAGTTCGATTTGATATGGACCGTGTACTTGGCACTCCACCAAAGCTTGCTGAGTTACCTCCAGCCGAGGACATTTAGGCATTCATTAATCTGCTTTACATGAGTAACAAAGTGGAGTGCTGATAACCATCACCAGGGATTATTTATTTTTTGATGCTCGGTGTGATTTTTATTTCATCTGAAGGCATCTAAAAGCTTATCTTGGATGGCCAATTGCTAGAGGATACCTTTTTTTGGGGGTTTAATTTTTTTATTTTCTCTTCCAGCCAAAAAGGCCACCACCAATGGATTGGTTGGTTAATTGAGCCTCTAAAATTCAATGAGGTCGTTTATGTTGAAAATCTAAAATCATAAAATACTAGTTTCACGAGTATACATTTCATATTTGGATATGTTTACATTTTTTGAGGAATCAACTACTTGGCCAAAATCTAACATGGTATCCTATATGAAAGTTTAGCCTATGTGCAATTCTTTCTGTTTGCTTGTCTTATACTTTGGAATGTAATCTTGCAATTCTTTCTAAATTGCTATGCTTCTGTTTTGAAAGGAGTACAATATTGTGGGATGTGATAATGACCACCAAATTCAGGTGAGATTTTGTGTTTACAGTATCTCTATTATGAAATGCATTTTTATTGTTTATCTGGTATAGGACTCACTTTCAAAAAACCCTAAACTGTGTGTAAATAGATGTGTAATTGGGCGCAAGTATTCTCATGGTTAATACTATGCTCCTGTGTAAGATTAGGATTGCTACATGAAAATGAGTCTTGATTTTATAGATCTAACTCTTACCTTTCCAGTAGGTAGATCTATCAAATTCCATGCCTTGAGTGTTTTTCAATGCCTGCAGTTCTTTAGACATTACTTGCCACAGTGGAGTTGGCCATTAATTGTAGAGATGAACAGGTAGGTCTCTTACTCATGTCAAGCAAAGGTAGGATTCTTACTCGAGTAAAGCCACAGGTAGGTCTCTTACTCATGTCAAGCAAAGGTACGATTCTTACTCGAGTAAAACCACAGAGAGGTTAATCGGTGCTATGATTATCAGTATGTGAAGATGATGCTAGTGATTCAAGAGGAGAAGGCTGCCAAATCTACAGTAGGAACCATCAGATGATGCAAATACCTCAAAAGAGAAATGTGTTTTGTGCTAGGAATGTCTATTTCTTTTGTCTGTCGTGTGTCTCTATTACCTACACATTTATCTATCATCTACCATGTGATCAGTTGACATGTGCGGAAAAGTGTTTGAGATTTGAATACCTAAAAAACTGGGTTGGATGTTCTTAAAATTTTTTTACATGATATATTAGAGTCAAGTCTTAGATTGTTGGTTTTGGTGTTGTGAGGGTCCATAGGCTTTGTCCTCAGCTCATCTCATGTTGTCGTTCTGAATAGTTTTTATTGTAAAATTTATCGAGTAAATCATTCATTTAAAAAAAAAAAATCAGATTAATTAAATATTTGTAAGCTCAAAATAAAATTACATTTGTTTTCAAAAAAATAAATAATTAGAATAATTTTGATAATTTATTTTAATGGTTCATATTATTAATGTAGGTACAGGACAAAACCCCATCGGCACAACATGCTCCCATCTCTCTGGTAATACAACAAAATGTATATCTACAAAACGTAGAATTATTATAAGTGCAATGTCATAGATCTGAAAAATATTATTAATTTTTTTAAAATAATATTATATGCACTAATTGATATATTAATTAGTGTACTAATAGATGATATGATATAATTTTAGAGGTTTTGAATATTTGTAATTTATATAATAGAAGAGATCAGTAATAAGGACACAAGGTATGTTGGTATATTAGTTGACATACTAATTAGTGCATATATAGCGCTATCGAATTTTTTTACATAATACTTCTATGAGTGTAAGATCTACGCATGAGACTTATATACCTAAGGGTCTGTTTGGTAACGTTTACTTTTTCAGTTTATATTTACAAAAATTTTATAAATTGATTTCTGTTTATTTTTAGAAAAGCATACACTACAAAAACGTTTGGTAATTGACAAAATGTTTAAAAAAATTTAAAAATTTAAAAATATAAAAAAGAGTGAGAAATGACAAGTGACGGCGGAAGACGGTGGTGGAAAGTGGTGACGGTGGGTGGTGGGTAGCGGGTGGTGGTGAGTGGTGGTGGGTGGGTGAGTGGGTGACGGTAGCGGGTGGTAGCGAGTGGATAGTGGTGGTGGTGGTGGCAGGTGGGTGGGTGACGGTGGCGGGTGGTGGGTGGTAGCAAGTGGGTGGTGGTGGCAGATGGGTAGTGGTGGGGGGTGGCGGGTAGGTGGTGGCGGATGGGTGACGGTGGCGGGTGGTGGATGGTAGCGAGTGGGTGGTGGTGGCGGGTGGTGGTGGCAGGTGGGTGGCGGATGGCGGGTGGTAGCGGTGCTGGGTGGGTGGGAGGTGACGGGTGGTGGTGGCGGGCGGTGGATGGTAGTGGCGGGTGGAGACGAAAACAAAGGATCATAAAAAATGTTTAGTTCTGTTGAATTTTAATTGCAAACAATTTATTGAAACCCCCCAAAGAAATGAATGAATTAAATTTAATTAATGACAGCATTGATACAAACAATGACAGGATGAAGATTAGAATGCGTTCTTATCTTAGAAGTCTTATTTTTGAGAAAAATATTTATTTGTTAATGAATTCAGCAATATATAAGGATGTGGCTATTCTTAAGTTCAAAACCTATGTGCTTGCCACGTGCTTCACACTTTGAAGCATAGGATGGTGGGGGGTGGGTGGTGGTGACGAAAGACGGTGGTGGAAAATGGTGGCGGGTGGTGGCTAGTGTTGGGTGGTAAAAAAAAAAAAAAACTCAAAACTCAAAACGGAAACATATTTTTTTAGTTTATATTTTCTGGCCAAATTTATAAATTGAGACCACTGATTTATAAATCAAAAATTTACCAAACAAGTTTTTATTTGAGTTTTTAAAATTTTATAAATATAAACAGAAAACTGAAAACGTAAGTGTTATCAAATGACACCAGTATTGTGTATGTATTGTTTAGGGAAAACGTTCTGGTGTACACTTTTTATGGGTGTATATTATATGTAATATATTATAAAAATATATAATTTTATTATAAAATTTCGTAATATCAATGCGTAATCTTATTATAAATTAACATAATAAAAATTATCAAAATTAAGGCCTAATTCAGAATAAATTATTTTAATAATTTTTTAATTTTTTACGAAAAAATATATATATAAAAATAAAAGAATAATATGATAATTTATATTAATTTTTTGATTAAAAGATAAAATTATCAAATGAGACATAAGTCACAAATTTTTACATTAATCATAAAATTTTAAATATTTTTGTTACATCAATTTGTACGTATTTTATAGTAAAATTATACAATGTTGTGGTAGGTTACGTATGCTATTTCCCATTTCCCGTTGTTTAGATTTTTTGTGGGTCTCTCCACGGTTTGTGATTCTATGAACCAGAGCAACTTGTGCTTACATGGCTGGTTCTCTCTCGCTCGTAACAACAACAACATGAATATGCTTCTTCTCCCTCCACCACTACCCACTCGCCTCCCTTCACTTCACTTCCCTCCTTCAATCTCCCCCCACCACCACAACCACCACCACCGCCGCCGCCGCCATATCTTCGACCCCCCTAGTAGGGATCGTCTTTGGCCACAATTGTTGCTAGCATTGACCATAGTGGTTGCTTCAAGCAATGTAATCTCGGCAGACCCCTCCTCCACCTCCTCTCCACCACCACCACCACCGCCGCCGCCGCCGCCGCCTCATCTCCGCCGACCTCACTCGACCCCACCGAGCTCCGACTCGCCGAGTCCTACCGAGCCGTCCCAGCTCCACTCTGGCACTCCCTCCTCAAATCTCTCTGCTCATCACAATCCTCAATCACAATCGCTTACTCACTCGTCACTTGGCTCCAAAAACACAATCTCTGTTTCTCATACGAATTGCTTTACTCCATTCTCATTCACGCTCTTGGTCGCTCCGAAAAGCTCTACGAAGCCTTCTTGCTTTCGCAGCGACAGACTCTAACGCCCTTGACTTACAATGCTTTGATTGGGGCTTGTGCTCGCAACGACGATCTCGAAAAAGCCCTCAATTTGATGTCTCGGATGCGTGGCGATGGTTATCAATCGGATTTCGTCAATTACAGCTTGGTTATTCAGTCTCTCACTCGTAGTAACAAAATTGATTCGGTGATGTTGCTCAAATTGTATGAAGAAATTGAGGAAGATAAGATTGAGTTGGATGGGCAGTTGTTGAATGATATAATTGTAGGGTTTGCCAAGGCGGGTGATGTCAATCGAGCTATGTTTTTCTTGGCTGTGATTCAGGGGAATGGGTTGAGCCCTAGGACTTCCACGATTGTTACGGTTATATCTGCTTTGGGGAATTGTGGGAGGACTGTGGAGGCAGAGGCGATTTTTGAGGAGTTGAAAGAAGGTGGATTGAAGCCTAGGACTAGAGCTTACAATGCACTTCTTAAAGGGTATGTGAAGACCGGTTCATTGAGAGATGCGGAGTCGATTGTATCGGAGATGGAAAGAAGCGGGGTTACTCCGGACGAGCAAACTTATAGTCTTCTTATCGATGCATATGCGAATGCGGGTCGATGGGAAAGCGCAAGAATCGTGTTGAAGGAAATGGAAGCTAGTAATGTGCAACCCAATTCATATGTTTTTAGTAGGATTTTAGCAAGTTATCGTGACAGAGGTGAGTGGCAAAGATCATTTCAAGTTCTTAAGGAGATGAAGAATAGTGGGGTGCAGCCTGATAGGCATTTTTATAATGTGATGATTGATGCTTTTGGGAAGTATAATTGTCTTGATCATGCAATGACCACATTTGAAAGAATGAGATCAGAGGGGATTGAGCCTGATAATGTTACATGGAATACCCTTATAGATTGTCATAGTAAATTAGGGCACCATAAGAAAGCAGAGGAATTGTTTGAGGAAATGCAGGAAAGTGGATTCACACCTTGCACTACAACATATAATATAATGATCAATTCTTTTGGGGAACAGGAGAGATGGGAGGCGGTGAAGAGCTTGCTGGGGAAAATGCAGAATCAGGGTTTACTGCCCAATGTTGTTACATACACCACACTTGTCAATATTTATGGACAATCGGGGAGATTTAATGAGGCAATCGAATGCTTGGAGAACATGAAATCTGCAGGGTTGAAACCATCGCCAACCATGTATAATGCTTTAATCAATGCTTATGCACAGAGGGTATGTTATTGCTTTAATCAATGCTTATGCTTTTTGTGAATATTTTGATAAATTAGTTGTTGGTGTTACTTTCACGTATGGTGTCACTTATTGCAATCTTAGCCTGACAACTTTTTACACTCACAAAGGGGTTACCTTACAACTATTGTATTTGTATTATTTGGAATCAGTGAAACATTTGGGTACAGTTCATAATTGAAAATCATCCTTGACACTGCTGATAACAACAGCAAAAAAAAAATGATTCAGGTTGTGACTATTACATTTAGACCCATTAAATCTCCTCTTATCCGGTTCTACACACATTTCTGCATGTGTATTAAAGAACAAAAACATTGTTAGGGTCTATTTTGTCATATCTATATATATTTTCATGGTCAGTTTGCTTGTTTATTTCAATGTTGTAAGGCCTCTGTCTCTGTCAGACATCAGTAGTGTTGTTATTGGGCACATAGGGAAAGGTGTATTTAACAAGTCACTCTCTTTGGCACAGTAACATTAGAAAGGACTATTACCAGAAGGAAAAAAAAAAAAAAAAACAAACAAACCTGAGAAGGGTCAAGTAAATGCTGATCAAAAATATTTTAAGCCAAGCTAACTTAGAAAAGGCAAAAAATGAAATGACCAGGCTCAATGTTTTGGTATGAATGTCGATCATCTATGTTTGTATCCACTGACAAGAATGCAAGTTCCTTTGAAAACAATTAGATTGCATACCAAAGGATGGAGCCTGCATGAAAACTATGAGACACTGTAATTCGCATCTAAAATGTGTCGACCAATTGAACTCTGGTTAAAATCTTCCAGTTTTAGTTAGATATCTGTTCTCGTGATTGGAGTTTATTTCTGAGCATGCATCTTCTTCTATTTTTGACAGGGTTTGTCTGAGCAAGCAGTAAATGCATTTAGGATAATGAGAGCTGATGGTCTAAAGCCCAGTTCATTAGCTCTTAATTCATTGATTAATGCATTTGGTGAGGATAGGAGGGATGCAGAAGCCTTTTCTGTATTGCAGTACATGAAAGAAAATGTAAGTTATTGTCTTTGTATTGTTCTAACTATACATTTAAAAAAAAATAAAAAATAAAAAATTTGTGTGCTGTTGTTCACATTGTTTCTCTTATCTGAATACATGTTCACGTGATCTATAACTGCAGGACTTGAAGGCAGATGTAGTTACCTATACTACACTTATGAAAGCTCTAATTCGTGTGGAAAAGTTTGATCAGGTAAAAAAAACAAAAACAAATTTAGTGTTGTTTTCTTTGTTACCAAAAGTGATGACCCTTGGCTGCTATTATCCGACATAATTCCACCTGTGTTTATTGTGTGTACTCACCCTTTATTTTTTCTTCTATGCTCTCATTGTCGACTCTATTTGGTTCTTGTGATGTCTGTGTGTATATGTTTTGCTTCTTATTCCTTCAATACCCTTCCAGTTTCTATAGTTCAAGTTGTTCTTGTTAAGCATGTTGCTTGGCACTTCTTGCATGTTCTTGTTCTGGGCATCTTCTTAGTGTTTGTTCAAATATTTTGCTTGCTAACTAGAGTATGGATCAATGATCAAAAGTTGTAACATTTCAATTTGGAAAGAGAATATAACTGTATGAATTGTCCTTCCATGCAATATGTAGGCGACAATACCATGTTCAAAGAGCTTGTCAACCTACAGGACAAGAAAACTTCAATCTTTGCTTTTTGTTGTCATCTTGGAACTTCATAAGCATGCTAGAGACATCCACTTGATTGTGGCTTTGCCACTGAGCTACTCACCTATCATTTTTGATGGTTATCAATTTTATGTTGAAGAAAATTCAAAGCAAAAATGGTTCTTCAAAAAGAAAAAATGCAAACAAAGCACCACAAAAGGGGATGCAACCTTGTACAAACCAAGTATACAGAACACATACAAAAATAAAAACAAAAAATGTATCCCTACTACGTATGTACGGGTTCATACAATACAACTCTTCCAAAAAGTCAACAAATCATTTAAAGAAAGAGGGTTGAATACAGTTTTGGTTCCTAAAGTATACGCTTTGTGTCATTATGATCTCCAACTTTTCAATTGTATCAATTTAGTTGCCAATGTACAAAATGTGCTTTAAATGATCCCCATGTCTGACACTGTCCGTATTCCTTGAAGGATGCAGGGACATTTTGGACGTTTCATCCCCCTTCCCCCTCTATGACAGGCACTCCATCCCCCGTCACAACCTCTCCCACTCCCACTCCCTCACCAGCCAAAACCCTCCCTCCCCACTCCTCACGACAGCCACCACCCCTCATACCAAATAAGTTCTCTATTCCAGTTTTGGTTGCAGACCTTACTGAGCTATCTGTTTGTTGAAGACCTTAAGAAACTAGCAAAAGTGGCCTGGTCTGGGCTTACATTAGTTCTATGTCATTGAACAGTTCAAGGCCTTCTTCATGGATTCCTTTTTTTGACTTAAGCCAAGATCATGGCTGTCCATGGAACTAAGTTTGTGTAACACTGTATTTGCTTTCTTAAATCTGCCACATTTTCCTTACATGTTGACCAGTGAATTATGATTACCCACCAAAGTTTCTGAAGCAGCTGTCATCACTGTTGCTTTAGCAGAATTTGCTTGCCCATTGCTAAATTTAATGTATTTGGTGCTATGCTCAACATGGTTGCACTGTCTCCTATCAAACCCATTGAGTTGTAATTCATGGAAGGGATGAAATGATTTTTTGTATTGCCCATACTATTCATATTCCATGACTATCATGTCGTAAGAGACACTATCCAACTCTGGCATCTCATCAAAGAGTTTTCTTGCATCATCTATGCTGTCATTCTTCGAGTAGAAATACAGTAAGGCATTTCCCAAAAACACATTCTAAACAAAAGGCACATAGCACCGTCGCAAAAGTAAAATTGGTTGGCTTCGACCCAAATTTTGCATTACTATAAAAGGTCTATGGCTTTATCATTTAGTCCATCTTTAGTGTACCTGGTTATCACGGCATTGAACGTCATTGAATCTTTTTTTTTAATTTTTTTGTTGAAGAGCAACAAAACAATTTTATTGAAATAAAAGATGAAAACAAGCAGAGGACTAGAAGTCCTCATACAAAAGCAAGAAAACAAAACTAAGAACCGGAAAATCGCCTACTAAACCATATTATAATCCAACAATACGTGTGACAAACAGCCATTGAATCTCCTACTGAACGCCATTGAATCTCTGGCAGGCATTTCTATGAAAAGCCCAAAGGCTTGATCATGACAATGGCTTTTGCAATGGGAATCAACCTAGCTTTTGCAGATGATAAGGGAGGAATCATGTTAAAATTTGACAAAATATGGGCTTGAACTACTTTTTTCCATCCCCAAATCATCATATCCTGATAGGAGAGTCGCAAACTATGTGGGTGTTTGGGAAGTTGCTATTTTAGTAGGCTATTTTTGTTTTTGGCTATTTTAGGAAGCTAAAATTTTTGTGTTTTGAAAGATAGTTGGATTTTTTTGTAGTTGGATGTGATGTTTGTGAGAGAAAAAGTGAAATGATTATGGGTTTGATGTGACATTTTGTTTTATTGATTATGTTAGCTTATTTTGTCTTTTAGTGCTATTTTAACCAAAAAAACTAAAAAAAGCTCTTCCCAAACACCTCCTATGTTACCAGAAAAAGCTAATGCCTTATTGAATTACATATTAGTACACACATTCCAAAGGTACATTTCCATTCAAAAATGGTAAATTTAGTGATCTGAAGCGATCCCAAAAGTTTTTTCCCAATACATTTCCTTAAATGTTACCTTAGAAGGAAAAAAATCAATATAATGAACTAAAATCTAAGACGATTTAAGTTAAAAACATCAACAATGAAGAGGGAAAAAAAAAATTATATATATATTTTTTATTGGATGCCTAATAGTTAAAAGAAAATTACTTGTCCCAATTTCTAAGAGATCCGAATCCATTAAGAAAATAGTATTTTTGAGATAATACATGAATATATAAAGATAATCTTGTGAGATAGGGATATGCACCCGAGACATGAGAAATAAGAGACGAGATTGACAACAGAAACCCTCCGTCAATATATATATATATATACATATATATCCATCCAATACATGAGTTATAAGTGTCACATGCATCCTATATTCAAATTCACTATATGACATGAATATTAAGCATGTGAGGCATTACATCCAATTATAATATCTAAGTTCTCAAAAGAGAATGCCCCAAGGGCTTACATATATCAAGGGCCATACCCTATTACAACAAAAGGGGTTTCAAAAAAATAAAATAAAAAAAGTAAGGCCTAAGGTTTTATAAAATAAGCAAAACAAAATGAGCTTCTTGCTCTCACAATCCTCGGGCTATCTTCTTAGAGGAGGCACACCATCAATACCTGAAAATGATTTTTTGCGAAGGGATGAGCACTAGGCCCAGTAAAGATAATCTTAACTAAATAAGTAAAGCATCGAGTATGCATATGATTATGGATGCCAATGCACATGTTGTTTCAATGATAGGACCATTTTCGAAAAACATAAGATTTTCCAAATGACTTACCAATTCCACGACTTTCATAAACCAAAAGAGTATTTATCAATTCGAAAACACAATGAATCCTATGTATGTATCTGCCAGTAGTCTATCAAAGAACTACCAACACCACCTCCACTTTACCGGTTGCTAATCGGAAGGAAATTGGTACCTAGTCTGTGCGGATTTCCGGTCTTTCACTGAAAACCTCAAGCCAACTTAATTCAACATTTCAAATCATTTTATACACTATCCGGATTCACCCACAATTATTCAACAAATTCCAATAATCTCCAATCATTTCATAAACAGGACAAAATTATAATTTCTCCAACGCATAATTTAGCAATATATATATATACAATGCAAAATGCTTGATGATAAAATGAGATGCTCTCAATGCATGATTTTCTAAATGGTTTCTCCTAAGTCATCAATCATTTCTACAACACCACAATGTAATCCTCCACTGATTGCCAAAAACAATTATCTCTAGTTGTATCTCAATTCAATATGTAAAAATTTATGTATTATTGATTGATATTTGTAATTGATATCTATTACAATGATTCATGATTCCTATATATAGAAGAAGGTGAGTGTGTAGTAGGTAAGGAGTAGGTGAAGGTGAGGTGGTAGTGGTGTAGTGGGTTAGGTTTAGTGGAGTAGGTTTAAGTGGGTGAAGTAGGTGGAGAGTAGGTGGATTTTAACACAATATAATATCAAGATATTCTCAATTCAGCAAATGTACCCACTAATTCAACATTTCACAAACTTTCCAAATTCCTAGGGTTTGGAAAACATCAAAAATGAAGGGAAAAACAAATTATATTGGAGGCCTAATAGTTAAAAGAAAATTACTCTAGAAGTACCTTAAATTCTGAAGTGTAATATATACAAGTCTATCCTTATCGTACTACCTTTAAACCATATGGCGTACCACGTTTCCGTTCCTGTTCAACGTATTGGAACGATCCACATTCCAGGTAACATAAATGTCACATAATCTGTGTCCATCCCTCATCTGCGCATCTCTGTGTAAAGTCTAAAAGCTTGGTGGAAGAAGAAGATGACAATGAAATGTCCAGACTGCCCTTGCTTTCGTCAAGGAGTAAGGACATTGTTGGACATGGGGATCTTTTAAACACAAATTTGGTATATTGGGGACTAAATTGACACAACTGAAATATTGGGGACCAAAGTGACACAAAGTGTATACTTTAGGGACCAAAAGTGTTTTTATGGATCACATGTTTATTGCATGCACTCGCCTTTTTTTTTTTTTTCCCTATGCTTTCTTTGTGGACTTTATTTAGTTCTCCTAACATCTATTTGTGTATGTTTGTTTTCTTATTTTTTAAATATTCTTCCAGTTTCTACTATTCAAGAAGTTGTGAATTATGTTGCTCGACACTTCTTACATGTCCTTGTTTTGGGGCATTTTCTTAATGTTTGTTTCAAATATTTGACTCACTAACTAGAGTATGGATTAAAGACCAAACAAGAAAATTTTAGGATCAGCGATCAAAAGTTGTTACGTTTCAACTTAGAAAGAAGCAACTGACAGCATACCATTCACCAAGAAGGGGATAATGAGCTTAGTATAGCATGAAACATTTCTTAATTTTTTTCAGTAATCCTGTGGGTCCCCTTCTGTACACTGCCTGTTTGCTATTGTGAATTTAAATTTAAAACTATTAGCATTCAAAAAGTGATATAATTGATCTTGAATCAGTGGACAGGGTTTTGCCCTTACAACCTCATAAATGTATGGTGCCATTTGAGTGTAGAAAAGTTAAATTCTGTCATTCATTTGCAGACATGTTCACTTTAGATGTTCTAGCTATAGCAATTACAAATCGTTTACAGTCTATGCCAGATATCCTCAAAATTCCAAATGGACATACTTTTAACAGAAAATCAAATGCCAATATATCAACTGTAATTGCTTCAGCTGTATTGAGTTGATCTGTTGAGCATTTGCATAATTTGGTTTTATTAAAGATACTAATTAATTTTTTTAAATATCAGGTTCCAGCTGTTTATGAAGAAATGATTTTATCTGGGTGCACTCCAGACAGGAAAGCTAGAGCAATGTTACGATCTGCTCTGAGATACATGAAGCAGGCACTGAGGTCATAATTGAGAGCACAAGTCATCCAGCTGGTCAAATCAAAACTACACAATTAGCTAACCATGTTTGATGTAGTTGATAATCAATCAGAGGTTAGTTACTGAGCAATCCTAAACTATTATAGCTTATTATTTAATTCCAAGTTGGAAGGTATAGCTTTGACGTCAATTAAAACCAGTGTATTGGTTCAGAGTTCTGTTGAGTTCTTAACAATGATTTGCCCAAGTTTTGCAGTTCCCCTGAAATTCTCCTACACCAAGTAGTTCTGTTTCTCTGATGTACATGCTGGGTTGTTCTCTATCAGATGGAACTCCTAGTGTGATGATGTTATAGAGACCGAGAATTGAAGACACATACCAGTATTTCAAGAATCAAAAAATGTGGAAGGACTTTAGCAATTCAAAACACCTGTAACACAATTTTTTTTTATCTTTTTTAATTGCACAAGTGCTTTTGCTTGTATCATAGTTGCAAAAATCAGAATTTTCATGTTATCATGGAAATAAATGTTGTAGACTCCTGATTTCATTAGTCATTTTGTATTCATAATATATTCAATATAAGGGAGGTAATCAATACATATAGTTACATTTTCTGCTTCATTGATTAGAGGAAACTTACTTTTGTTTGGTTTCTCTCATGTTTACATCTTAACATGAGAAGATTTGAGAGGCTCGTGGAGCCCACCATATGTCTCGTTTCGATGACCATCATATGTCCCGTTTCAATGATTCAAACCGTTTACTTTTTACGATTTGTTGAGTAGAATATTTATGTAAAAATTCAAAATGATTGGATATGTAGCTGTAAGTTTGAATCAATTTTAAATTACAAACAATGAATGGTTATTTTTAAAATTATATTTGTTGTATATTTTTTAAAACAAATATGATTAAAACATATAGCTATCGATATCTAATCATTTTAATTTTTTACATGAATATTCTGCTCAACGAGTTTAAAAAAGTGAATGATTCGAATTATTGAAATCAGTTTTGAAATAGGCTTATTAAATCCAAACGTTTTCTCAAATTGAGATGATAACTCGAAAACATACAAAATTTTGAGAAATTTTCATACGTTCTATGCTTCAGCTTCATCATTTTTCAATCTGCTTTTAATTACAATAGGTATAACTATATTGATGGTGACAGCATCCTCTGAGAGGTCATATGATTTTAGTCTAATTTTACTGATTGGTAGATGCTATTGTTGGTCAAGGAAATCTTATTAAAAGTGAATTAAGAGGCAAAGAAATACAAAAAATTTACCTTTTAATTAATGGTTCTGTTTACTAGTCTACGTACAAAAGCAAATTGTACTTTTCATGATGCATAGCACAAGAAAATATTTGAGTGAAGAAGTTTCTTTCAAGAGACGTTTTCCTGCCATAATTGAATTTCTTTTTTATTTTCTATCTCATCAATTGAAACAGATCCAACCTTGCAAGAGCCTGAGTCTGAATTTGCTAAAATTCCAAGACGGAGGTGACTCATTGTGAGACTAACTTTGATGTACTTCAGTAATCAAAATCATTCATCTCATACAATTGCTTGAAAAAATTAAGTTGATGTAACATCGATTGTCATATAATTAAATTATTTTTATTTATACAATTTACATATTTTTAAGAATAGATTGTCAATTTATCATGATATATATGTAATTTGATCATATGATTATTTATGTTTGATCAATTTAATTTTTTTACAGTTATATTTTTCTCAACTTATCATATGAAATGAACAATTTAAATCATTGTGATGAATACAAATTAGTTTTACAATGCACCATCTTCACCTAAAAATCCAAACTCGCAATATTAGTTTTTCCAAATATCTATTGGAAATGGTATAAGTGGAAATTGCAAAAGACCTAGCAAGATCATGATATATAAAAAGGGTCCACAATATCTCCAACTAGACCATCCGGTCCACACTGTGAACTCACATTTAGGCCCACTTCGATGATCTAAACCGTTTACATTTTAAGATTCGTCGAATACATAATCCATATAAAAAATCAAGTTGATCAAATAATGATAATCACGTATTTGAATCAATTTTATATATAAAAAAAAATAAATAATGAAAAAATAAACGATTCATATAAAATTGATTCAAACATGTGATTTTTATTATTCGATCGATTTGATTTTTTACATGAATGATGTATTTGACGAATCTTAAAATGTGAACGATTCGAATTATTAAAATGGAATCCAAAAATTAGCCTACTTTGCAGACTGAACGGTCCAGTTTTGATCTCCAAGCTGGACCGATATAAAAACATCACACATCAGAGGGAAAGAATAAAAATGATGAAAACTAAATAAACAATTGCATTATCGTAAAAAAAAAATGAACTATCACAAATCAAAAATTATACACCTCTCTCTCCCTCTCTCTCTCTCTCTCTCTCTCTCTCTCTTCAAATGATTGTGAGCAAAGGAAATTATCAGAGTGGGATACCAGAAACAAGTGGTCTATTACTCTTTGAGATTCTAGAACAAAACATGAACAGCAACAGCACTGAGGATAACAAGAAGAGCCTGAAATATGTCCTGATCTCCTGCATTCCAAGGTCAAGCACCTCCATCTTCTTCCCATATCTACTACTCCTCTCCATTAGATACCCATTCAGATAGTCATCTATCGATACCAACTTGTCCTTGTTGGAATTCGAGGCCTTTGAACCGAGTTCATCAAGCTGGTGCGTGCTCATATTGAACATTGCAAAGAATGCAGCCGACCAATCATTGATAACTTTCTGAAAACCAAAAGCGAAAAAAAAGAGCAATAATTATAGAATTTGCATAATATACCCTACTAGCGGTGGGTGCAAAGTGATTTTACATTTATATTTTCGAAGGGTTGAATGATTGAGGGGCGTTTTGATAAATGAGAAAGCATTTAGCAGTTATGGACAGTTTGATGAATGAGAAAAATCGTTCAACAGTTATTGGATGCAGCAGTAAGTAGATTTAAAGGGCATCTTTGGGAAAAAATAAACGACCTTTACGCCAAATGAGGTGTTCGTTTCATATAATAGAATAGATGTTCAAGAGGTTTCATATTAATGAACTGTAAACTCCCTCCCAAAGAAAGAATCGGTTATCATTTTAGTCGTGACCTAACTTACATTGAAGGTAGTAAGATCAACAGGATTGAACATTTTAAAGCAGTCCCTTGAGGATGCTGTTCTGTCTCCATAGATCTGCCAATCAGTACACGTAACATAAAGATATTTGTGTGTTAAGAGTTGCTAAGGAATAAATGACAGGAAAAGAGAGTGCATTTTCACAAACCTCGAAGGTGAAAGCCATGGGCACTCTTGCAATGTCATACATGTAATCGGTTGCTGTTCCATGTGCCAAATACCTATTTATGCATGTTTTAAACTTGTGAATAGAACAAAAAAACAATTAACATGCAACAGCAATAATAATAAATTCTTCTCTGTAATACTAAATTAGTAGCTCTGCATCTGCTGATTTCAGATCTCCATAGGCTCCAATGCCATGGATCCCACAATATAATTGACATGAGTAAAATTTACAAAACTTTCTCCATATAATCAAAATGTTAATCCATGGTTCTGAGTTTGTTTAAGAAACATGAACACTAAAAAGAAGAGGGAGAGAGATACAGAAAGAGAGAGAATCCTTCCTGGGACATCACATTTCAAAGATCACTATGCAAAATTTGGAAAGGAAAGCAGGAATAATAATAAATCCAATATAGAAAATGGAAACAATGAAATAAGAAAGGAATATGTAAGAAACCAAGAGAAAATATAATAATCATCACATCCTAAATATGTGATTTATTATTCAAAGAGATTAGCCATTTCTAATTTGGTGTTGAAACAAAACACAATGGATTCCAAGCCCACATTTTTTGTGCCAGCAAGATGGGTCTAAATGAACAAGAAAGAACACTTCCTTAGTGTGATGGGGATTTTAAAGTGGACAAGTAGGGGGCTTGGATTCTACTAGTATTCCCCAATTGATTACATTTAAGCCATAATTAGAGCAAGAACTGTGACAAATACATGTCTAATACATCAAAACCTATGACAGCATCAGTGGGAAGGAGGTGGAACAGTTAGAAGGCTATAGATGGTGAGAGCAAGTGTGATAACTGATAAAGAAGTTGATGTTTTAGTGGGGAAAAAAG